TCCTCCCCCTCCGAGGACCTCTGGTAGAAGACCTCCGTGGACCTGTCCCTGTCGAGTCGCCCAATGGCAAGGACCAACACCGGGGAGACCTCCGCCCGCGTGGTTGTCGGCGCAGGGACTGGAGAGGTGCGGGCCGAGCTCGCGCGGGCCACGGCGGGCGCTGCGGCGCAGGGACCGCGGACACAAACCCGTCCGCGCAGCGGCACAAGGCCGCTCCGCGAAGGCCATCAGAGTGAAGGAGCGGCGGGGTTAACAAACCGGGGTTGTCACTCATATGACATCACAAATGTCGCACGCAAGTTGCGTTAGTGAACGAGACGCTCTCACTTTCCACTCATTTACTGACCACGCCACCGCTGCCCTCGCTCTCATCTCACCTCTCCAGTTCTTGTACTCCGGGATATAGTAGTATTTGTTCCCGAACTGGTCTGTGCCCACTTGCTCCTTCACTTCCTTTGACAGCGCTCTCCACAGGGCGCGGAACAAATTCTGAGACCGACCCATGCTCGCCGCCTAGGTTCCAGCGCGAGCAGCAGCCCAATCCGTCGCGACCGTAACAAGAACGCCCCAGCCGCTGACCCCACCTACCAGCGTCCCACCAGTAACTGCGCTCACCATTGGTCAAATGGCATCATTGCTCTACCAGTGGGAGACTGTGTTGTTACAGTCTCTCCGAGCTTTGTCATGGCGGCGTCCAGTCCTCTATCCAGTGTAAAGGAACGTGATGCTAGGGTTTTTGTCAGCGCGACAAACCGGATTAGACGACCCTCTTCGTCTACGAAGAGTGGAGGCCACACGAAGGTATAGTAAATCTGACTCTTTTCTCTAACAGGCCAGTTAAAATTTGGACCAATGGCTGCGTTAGCATTGCGTTAGCACTTTTCGCGCCTCATTATCACTTTCCTTCCACCAAACCCGGCTTTCTTCTTCTTTTAGAACATGGACCAAAATTCCTAGCATGTACCAAAATTTCAGACTCCCAGAAGGAAAGCAAGTATTTAACGTAAAGCAAACTATTTGTTTGCTCCAAATAGTTTAGCCACAGTGAACCATTCTTATCCAGGAATAATGGGAATCCTCCTGAAATTTCAGGAACCAGGCAAGGCCCAGTCTTGCAAGCAAGCCTTTCTAAGGATAGCAGCCTCAGGCCTGCTGTATTGACTTTTTTTTTTTTTTTTGGTTTATTCTGTATTACCTGTGTACCCCACCCCCCTATCATCCTAGGATAGGATTCCCCCGGAATAATGGTTCCTCCAGGGTTTTTTTTTTTTTTTTTTTTTTTTTTAACTGAGCCATCCAGCCACCTGTTGGCATCTTAACTCGGGCAGGGACTCGAACCGCTGTTGCTCAGAGCTCCCACTCTTGAGCGAGCTCTTAACCAACTGAGCCAGTTGGCCGGCCCAGTCCTCAGGTCTTTAGGTTAGGCAGAGGTAGGCTTCCAAACATGGGTAGGGATTAAGCTGACCTAGAGTGATATTTCAGAGCCTGAGCAGGTTGAGAAAGTAGTGTAAGTGTGGGGACTGACAAGCTCAGGTGATAAGAGTGTTGCAGGAGGCTGAACTCAAAGTGCAAGCCTGGTGAGCAGCATCCGTGTAGGAGGAGGGGATGGTAGTGGTGATGGGAGATTAGTTATATGTAGGGGGATTGGTCAAATAAATGAACACATTAATGATAATGGAAGGCAGGTTTCCCACTGTTAGAAGAGAACTCAAGGAAGGGATGATTCCTTTTACAGATATTTGTATGATATTTTACTTGTTACAAGAAGCACATATTACTGTTATAATTTGAATAATCATCAAATAGGAAAATATTTTAAGAAGAAATGGAAATTTCAATAGAAAAATGTGAAAAATTATTTTCTGGTGAAATATTGAAGCTCAGAAATGGCAGGCCAACATAGTGGTCTGGGAGGAAAAAAATGTCAGTCCTCAGATGCAGTTCAGACAATAATTAGATGAATGACCTTGGACAAATTACTTATGTCTTAGTTTTATAATCAGGAAAAGCATTTAATACTATAACCTACCATCTAGTAAGTCTCCTACTTTTTACCACAGATTACAATGTCAACAAATAGTAGGCTCTTAATTTTAACTGTTGTTGTTATCGATCAATAACAGAGAATTAGGTAAGTGTTTGAAAGTGTTAGACTGGATATTTAAACCTAAGGCAAAAGTGTCTTCTAGAATACAAAGGACCATGTATATCTTTAAATCAAACACTTGATATGCTAAAATGATTTCCAAAATGCTTTTATTTATTAGTACTGCTACTGTCAGTGTGTAAAAGTATCAGTTTATACCTTTGCTAGCACTGTGTATTTTTTTTTAAAAAACTGATAGTTTGATAGGCTAAAAAATTTCATATAAATTAAAATTTCATATAAATTAATATTGATTAATAATGAATTTAAAAATCATTCTGGTTACAGTAATGTAAATTCCTTTTAACATCCAATAGATTAAGACAAATTTTGATAGTTAACATTCACTAGGCACTTACTATGTCTAGGAATTGTAATGAGCACTTTTTAATGTATTAACTCATTTAATCTTAATATCCTCACCAGAATAATGATGGTTCACAGTTATGGAATATCAGAAATTTCATTTGTCTTAATTTGTGAGAGTACTTGTTAATCATTTTTATTTATAAATATTTAATTGGCTTTATTTAAATGTGCCTAATTGTTGAACTTACTCGTTTTGTATTTATGCCTAAGGCATAAGAAATACTCGAGAATTTTTTAAAAATATTGTCGTTTAAGCTTTTGTCCACTAGGTGTCCTCAGTTAAGTTTATCAGAATTTAAATGAAAATTTGTTTGTCTCTAAATATCATAATAACTTAATAAAATACACTCTTTAAATGAAATTTAGAATAATGCTTCAGGATAAATCCTTTATATGTAATTGTTTTTACTGTTGATATTTTTTACATTCGTGTAAGGTCTTTAAAAATCTAAAAATCCCCTTGATGTGTGATAGAAAGAGATTTAAGCATTACTTGCGATTTTTGTAGTATATGTAATCTTGGTAAGGTAAGGACATTTTTATGTTCAAATTAATTTCTTATTGTTTAGTTTTATCTGTTTTCCCCATTTAATTTTTATATTTTCTTAAAGGGTTTTGGGACTGGAGTTAAACAAAGACAGAGATGTTGAAAGGATCCATGGCAATGGAGTTAACACCCTTGACATTGAACCTGTGGAAGGGAGATAGTAAGTTTATTATAGTTACACATTTTTCTTTCTAAATGAGATGCAGTAAAGTCTTGCTTTCAGATTATGTGAAGATTCATAAATATTAGTAAAAATTCTAAATTGTAGCATTTTTAATCTGCTATTACTAATTTTAAATAAATACAGAACTTCAAACCTACAAAATGTTTCCAGATAAACATTTCTAAATGCTTTAATATAAATATATTCATTGTTAAATCAGCAAACATTAAACTTCTTTTAGATGCAGAAGGCTTTTAAATGCTGGGGTGTGTAACTAGCTGCTATTTTAAAACATAGTTGCTACTCTCAATGAGTCTAATGGGGAAACAAATATTAAAAAGCAGAAATATATTTTAGAGAATTAAGTTTAAAGCAAACCAGACTTATATTTGAGTTCCTTTGGGTTTTACTCCTTTATCGGCTGTGTGACTATGAGCAATTTACCTACCTTTTCGAATTCTCAGTTGCCTTAGCAATACAATGAGAACAATAATACCTAACAAGTGTGTTGTGAAGATTCATTGAGATTCTATATTTAACATGATTAGCATAGGACCTGGCATATCATAAATGGTTGCCACTACTGTTAATCAAAAGCGTTATCACCTATACTTTTACCCTTTTCAGTATATTCTCCACAAAGTAGCTGAACTGCTTTGAAAAATGCAAATCCAAACATGCTATCCCTTCATTTAAAACTCATCTTGACCCCCACATGACTGTTACAAGAAAGTTCAAAATTCTTCATGTAGTCTGTTAATTAGAACAAGTATAAAAGTAACTAAAGAAAAAGTTTATCATGTCATATTATGTGTAGCATTTGCCCCACAATTTTTGTATTATGATGAAATATTACTACTATTAATATTTACATTAAAATAAGCCAGGAAAGATTTGATAGAATTCTATTTTTTATTGCCAGCTTCATGGTCTCACCTAGTAGTATATGAGAGACAGGAACAGAGAACAAATGCTCACTTTAACACATGGTTAAATCTAAAAGATGACCAGCAATAACTCTTCTTTTTCCTGAACTTGTCCAGGCTTAACGTCGCACCTCCTATTCAAGGATAGCTGTGGAGTATTTGCTTATAAAATAATGCAGACAAGAACAGCAAGGGATAGCTGATTATTTTTGGTCTTGAGTGCTGGTGGAAAAAATATTTGGTGCTGCTTCTCCAGTCAGCCATTTTGGATAGTAATCAGTTGTTTGACCTGTGAAGTACATGAAGCCAGTAGGCTACCAACTAGCAGAGTCAATGAGAAATGTGGGAAATTATATATGCATGAAATATGTGTGAGAAATACAGGCTGAAGAGTTTTGCAGAGCATATAGAGAAAAGTCAAGATTCTCACTAAAATCGTTTCTCCCTTTATTGTGTGGTAAAAATCTACAACTGTTTATTTCATTGTTTGCTAAGACTTGTATTTTGCATTAAACCCTTTTGGCAGAAAAGAGAGAAATAAAAAGGAAAATGTATGTAATGGAAAATTATATCCTAATCTTACTTTTTCTTAAGAAAATCAGTGCACATGAAACTTGCTCAAAATAGTTGTTAATATTTACCAACCATGAAAGCTGTAAAACCAGAATGGAAAACAGAATACGTAGATCTGGTAAAAAAGCATTTGTTTCCAAAGGTAGGAGTTATTTTAAGAGGTACAACTTCAAAGAGTGCGTTTGCATTTCATCTGTAAAGCTTGACTTTTCTTTTATACCTCCAGTTCTTCTAAGTTAATTTCATTTATCTTTAATACCAGGTTACCTTGTCCATATAAAAACATGAAGCCATATCTCTTAATTTACTCTGTTACAGAATAATAATCTCACAGTTAAATAATGTCAGTGCCATCATATACTTCAAATACAGTCAGTTAATTTCAATAATGATTCAGTTTTTTCACCCAATTAATGAAATCAAAGGAAGTCATTTTAGCAAAGAATAACTTTTTAGAAGTCATTTTAGGAAAGATGAAATATCTGGCATTATTGAAAATACCATTTAAATTCAATTTAAAAGTTCAACTTTGAAAATATTTGTTTTTGTTTTGATAGTACATGTAGTGCCATGGTAAAAAAATATTTCACAAAGTTCATATATGAAGTATAAATGTTTTTGGAATTGGTTATGGCACACATGTAACTCATGTCTGTGTCCAAACAAGATGCAATATTTTTATCAACCAAGATAAATGTTGTAGTTGTTAAAATTTACAAATATTTCTCTCTATCTACAGTTAAACAGAACTACAAAATCTTTGTAATGAAGCTAACGTTGAATATATATTAAAAAAAAAATACTTCAGTGTGGTGTTACTTGTTGTCTTTCTTTACTGCCCATCATCATGATGTTGGACTTCAAAACTGAGCAAAGAACTTTGAAGAACTACTTTTAAATTAACCTAATTGTTCTACAAATTGGTATTGCTACTTGGACATGCTGCTAGTTCATGAACCTTTTGTAACTGGTTGACAACAAGATAAGGAGCTTGTACCAACTCAAGAAAAAATTAGAAATAAAAGAAAAATGTTTCAGAAATGAAGACTAAAGCATAAGGAACACAGGCAAATAAATACAAGAGATAAGTCCTTAGGTGAAGGTGGAAAGGAGGAAGTTCTTTAAATAAAAAAGAAGTGGAGAAAAAAGGATTCAAGAGATAGGGACATAAGTATAATAGATAATAGGCAAAGGAGATCTACCACACATTTAGTAGGAGTTCTCAAAGAAACCCAAAGGAAGAGAACAGAATAAATATTAAAACTATGATCCAAGGAAACTTTCCTAGAATAAATAAGATCTGAAACTATATGTAAAGGAAAGAAAATCATATTGTAACTAGACTTTGATTTGGGGCTTTATACCCAAAGAAATGAAGTTTCTTATCTAAGATGTTCAAATAAAATGAGCCAAAGATTTTTATAAGTCAGACTGATTTTTCAAGTATAAAAGGACAGAAAAATTGTCAATAACATAAGAATTCAGGGACTATGGTTCTCATTATCCCTGTCTTAGGAATCTACCAGAGAATAAAATCAGAGAACCACAGTGAGTAGAGAGACAGCAACATGAGGATTGATGGTGAGCGATAATATCAGCAAATCACAATCCTTTATGTAGGTATATAAATTTGTAGCTCTGTCTTCCCGACTACAATAGATTTTAAACTCTGGGAAGAAAGGAACCATGCCTGTCTTGTTCACAGTTGTATCAGCAGAGTACCTGGCATATTGCACTTCTCAAAGTTGAATGAATTGAGTAAATGTGTTCATAATAGAGGGGGTAAAATCTAACATTTGTTGATTTTTTTTTTTGGCCAGGTACTGTAAAAGGAACTTTGCATATTATTTTTATATTTGCGTTAACTTTATGATTTAGATGAAAATGTCCCCCTTTTCCAAAATGTTGAAAGGTTTAAACAGGTGAAATTACTTGCCCAGGATCAGACAGCTATCTAGCATCAGTAATAGCTGTCTGTCTGATTCCATTTTCATTTAACATAGTTGTAATTAGGACATTTAATATAACTTTGTAATATTTCACTTTATAGTAAGAAATATCTTTTGCCATCTTGTTTCTATTCTTTCATTTTGATATCATGAAGGTACATTTTTTATGAAGGTAAATTTTTAAATGATCACAGATGGAATCTTTCCATATTCATTCTTGTACAAATATTAGATTAACAAAATTTAGTTTATTGAGGTCTATATTAATGAAGGTTTACTTGGTATTTGTGGACATAATACATTTGGTTGTTTACAGATTAGTAATTTTCAGAAATATGCAATCAAATAAATCAACTACATAAAATGATAAATTAATACTAATTTTTTTATTATTAGCATGTTATCAGGTGGTTCAGATGGTGTGATTGTACTTTATGATCTTGAGAACTCCAGCAGAAAACCTTATTACACATGTAAAGCAGTGTGTTCTGTTGACAGGTGTGTATTAAAAATATAATTCATGAAATTATAAACAGTTGAATGTTTTTTACATCAAATGCGAAGTGTGCAAATAGTCATATGAATGTCTCAAGCAAATTGTTCAAATAATGTATTTACATGGCTATCTCTTAATATTTTCTTAAAAATAATAACTGAAATTCAGGTGTATCTGTTTTTAATCTGACTTTTCCCAAACAACTTTGACATCAGTTTTCAAAAGGATTTTATTAAAAAACTTTTGATTATGTCCTTTTTATTCTATATGTACATAGCACACTTCACTGACTAATTATTGTTTTTAGTACCACTTAGTATAAGATTCATTTATTAGTCTTTCAGCTAATTATAAACACAAATTAGATTTTTCAACTGGTATTAATAGAACAAAAAGATTAATGGCTAGAAGCAATAAATATACTGGCAATCCCTCACCAAACATACACACATGCTCACACAGCCCTCTTAACTCTCTACTTACTTACTCAAAGATTCCTAACTTAAAAGCTTACCTCTCTTTGTCTTGAGTTTTTTTTTACTATTCTTGACTGTTTTTCCAGTCTTGTGAGAATGATTTTTAAGTCTTTAATAAAATGTTTTGTGACTTTGTTGTAGTTTGTTTATAATTGTCTGTTAATTCTTTCTTTCTTAATTCTTTCTTGTCACCTGTATCTTATCTGATATTGAGCAGACCTTTGAATTTACAGAGAGAATAGGCATTGAGAAATGCTTTCAAGAGGAAACACTTCATGAACATTAATATCAACAACCACTCTGTATTAGAGGTGTTCCCAAAGCACTAGGATAGGTGTGTAAGTCCATGGAATATTTGTGAGGAGATTTATGATTGTTTCTTGGCTCTGGTGCTTCACTTTGGAAATACAGACTTGGGAAACTATTTCTCTGAACCTTACATTATTCTTATAAGGTTTCTGTGAGAATTAAATGAAATATCTTTCAAAAAGCAAATTGGAAACTGTAAAACCACTGCGTAGATGGGAAGTAATATAGAGAAACTTGGTACAAAGCAAAATACTACCTCAAATATTCTTGAACCTTAGTTTCTAAGAGGCTTATACCATTTTATACTCTCCACTCCCACCAAAAAAACCAAAAACACTAAATTCTAAAGTGAAAGACATATTAATTTAATTCATTTTCATCTTATTTTATCTTAGCTAACATTTTAGCCTTGTTTAATTTGTTATATAGCCACATGCTATATAATGTTATTCCATGAAGGAGCTGCTTTTCTGGTGTAGAAGGTCAAGTAAATGCTTAGTGCATCCATCTTTTGCTTTACTATAATTTTCTTCTTGAATTCAAACTCTGTCTTAAAAAGTATGACTTTGAATGTAAATGGGCATATAGTGAATGTCTTCACAAAATAAAGTAGCATGTTTACATCCAAAGACTTTATATTAATTTTAAAAAATAATTTCATTAAAAGTCATTATTGAGTTAATGTGGCTTATGCTGTTTCCTGATATTTATGGGTTCTGGCTTTACTTAATGTGTTTTTTCTGGAACACCAAAAAGATTCCTTTCCTCTACCAAAATTTTTATTAGATGTGAATGAGAATAACAGGTCATATATAGTAAAGGAATAATACAATATTTTGTCCTATTTTAAATTAAAATGAAAATTTAAAATATAAATGAGCTTTTATTTGTGGTCACTACATTAAAGATTTGTTTTAAAACTGGAAAACATCTGTATAGATCAAGATTCTAAGGAGCAAAGAGAATTCAATTCTGCTTATTTTAAGCAGAAATTTTGGGGAAGATAATTAGTATCTCACATAACTGGCAGGAAGGTGTCAAAATCAAATGTAGAAAATGAGCAGAAAGCAAAAGAAACTAGGGTAGACACAGTCAAGGTTACACCAAGGAACTAATTAGTTTGGGTTCTGTTACATGTCACCAACACAGAATCAACTACAGCTATAAATAATTGTTAACTATCCCTGGGATTTACACTACTCGCTGGAGTTTTAGAGTCCCAGGCAGGAGTTGGAGGAAGCCCAGTACTCATGTCCATGCCCTTGCTGCCAAGAGGAAAGGAGAGAATTTCTGGAGTCCTTTTCTGCAACAAGAGTCAGGGTCCCGCCTTTCAGTAAAACACGGGATTTCCCCCAAACGAGGAGTTTGGGTGCTCAGCAGCCAAGAAAAGGGCACATGTGTACCACAATCCACGCATTTGGCTATCCAACATCCATATACACCTTTCTTCCCATACTTACCCTTCCTCTAAAAAAAAAAAAAAAACAGTTCCAGCCTAAACTAATGCAAGTATCCACCATACAACCAAAAATGGATCACCCCTTTCCCCAAAGGGTGATGACCGTCAGTCTATTACCCAGTTACCACATCCAGCTCCAGTTGAAGATAGTGTCCCATTTTTCCAGTTTTTTACATGATCTGGTGTCAGTAGTATACAATCTGTGGACTCAATTGTAAAGTTAACCTGTATATAATAATGGAGATAAGAGAGAAGAAAGGAGAAATTAAATTAGTTAAAATATATAAATATATACATGACAGAAAGAAAGGAAATATGGGTTGGCACTAGAGTCCTTATATTTTGCCGCTGCCTCAAGGCCAGAAGTGACTCTTAAGACTTTTCCTTTTTTTCATGTTCTCATTCCTTCAGGTAGCACCACAAGTGTTCCAGGTCCTTTACCCTGTATTGTGATCCAAACCTTCACCTTAAGGAATCAGAACTTGTGATGGTCCTGTCTGCACAGGGCTGCGGTAGTCTTCTGACGACTTTTATTATGGAAAATTTCTAACATATACAAAAGTAGAGAGTAGTATAATGAGCCATGTACCCTTCAGCCAGCTTTAACAACTATCAGTCATAACTAATCTTCTACTCCATCCACCCACTCTGAAGATTATTTTGAAGCAAATCCAGAATCATATTTTATTCATAATTATTTGTATCTCTAAAAGATATTTTTTATAACCATAACCGCAATATTCACATACACGGTAAATCTGGATATTAAGTATCCAGTGTGTTCAAATTGCCCTCCATTATCTCATAAGTGCTTCTTAAGAGCCAGTTTGTTTGAATTAAGATATAGTAAAGTGACACATACTGTGTTGAGCACTGCTTCAGAGCATGTACTGCATCCTTCACGACAATACAGTACCCTCACAAGGTGGGGTATTGTAGCTGATATAACAGTCATCAACAGACCATGTTTCTATGGGTGATGGGTCTCATAAGAGGCGATTCCATGGGCATCTACCAGTTGCATTCGTTTGTCATAGAATAAGTTCCTTGATCTAAAGCCACACTGTTTGGGGTACCATGGAAGTATGTGAGGCATTCAGCAATTCTAAGAATGATAGATAATACTGATAAAATGATATTGGGAATAGCAAATTCAAAACAAGATTAGGTATCTCTTCCCGTAAGGAAGTCACTGCCCCTCCCATGAATAGGTCCAGTGTGGCTGTGTGATCCCTCCAGGTGATAGCACAGAAATAGGAAGTCTCATTGTATGAGCCTCAGTAGGATGCAGGCCTCCGCATCACATGATGAAAGCCTGAAACTAGAGGTGCTTGAATGTTCTTTTCCTGGACAGCTAGAACACAGGCTTGTGATCTAGATTTGGCCATATCATCCTTCCTGCGACTGCTGTTTGTTAATATAGGATCAACTTCAAATTCACATAAGTCAGTTATCTCTATATGATTGCTGTTTTGTAGAAATCATCCTGATGTCCACAAATATAGTGTGGAGACTGTGCAGTGGTATCCTCATGACACTGGCATGTTCACATCAAGCTCCTTTGATAAAACCCTGAAAGTATGGGATACAAATACATTACAAGTAAGTATATGATAACTTTTCCTAATGGCTCTGCAGGGTGAAGGAGAGTTTAATCCTAAACCATTTTAGTATGATGAGATATGATTTTTAGTAATAGAAATGAGATAGAAATTCAGTATTGCTAAGATATGATGTATGTTAGATGTGAAAGCAGGATAGTTGTTAAAGAGAACTGGACTGCGTAAGTTCATATGTTGGTCTGCTGCTGCCTAGCTGTATGACAGGCAAGTGTCTGATCCTCTCTGTTTTAGTTTCCTCATCTGTAAATGTGGGTAATGATTGTACCTTATTGGACTGGTTGTGAGGATTAAGAAGGTTGATATATGTAAAAAAACTAGAACAGTACCTAGCATATAGTAAGTGCTCAAAAACCATTAGCTATTATTTTTATTATTTGAAAACAACTATGGTCTAGTGGCATAAGGAAGAAAATTGGATTTATCTCCTATTGAACTAAAAATAAAAACTTAGAGGAAAAGAAAGTTATTAATGCAGCTTAGTAAAGGTTGACAGTAGATAATAGTTTTTATATCTGGTCAGATTTGTATTTCTAGTGCTAATCTTTCCCTGAGCTCTAGTACCTGTCCAGAACCTCTTACTTGAATGTGGTGTCATCTCAAACTTAACATGTTACAAACTAAACATGATCATTCCTCACATCCATTTAGTCCTCAAATCTTAGTAGTCTTTCTTCAAACTCTCTCATAGTTCTCCTTTCTATTTTCCTCACCATCACTGTATATCTAGACTACTACTAAAAACTCCTAACTAGTTTTCTTGCATTACTGTTCTTCTCACATTTTCCATGGTAACTTCTACCCCAGAATGAATCTTAATTATAAAGCAGTTTCATCCTGTCTCTACCCAACCTCTCAAGTGATTCCCATTGTCTGTGATTTCAGCCTGGTATTCTAAGTTCTCCGTAACCTCACTCCCTACTCCCTCAACCTTAGCTTCTACCTCTTTTCAACATAAATGATTTGCTGCCTCTAAATTGGTCTCCTTTTGCCTTCTAATCACATTTTGATTGTGTTGTATTCCCTGCCTCAAGTCCCCTTCCTTAGGCAACTTTTCCCTTCTCTTATTTGTCTTATAAGTTGAAGTTTGTACCCTATGACCAACATCTCCCCATATCTACATCCCCTGCCCCCTGGTAACCATCATTTTATTCTGTTTCTATGAATTTGTTTGTTTTTATATTACACATATAAGAGAGATTACCTGGTATTTGTCTTTCTCTGTCTGACATCACTTGGCATAGTGCCTTCATTATTGTAAATAATGCTGCAATGAACATGGGGTTAATGTATCTTTTCAAATTAGTGTTTTTGTTATCTTTGGACAGCTATCCAGAAGTGAGATTCCTGGGTCATATGATAGTTCCATTTTTAACTTTTTGAGGAACCTCCATACTGTTTTCCGTAGTAGCTGCACCAATTTACAATCCCACCAACAGTGCACAAGGGTTCTTTTTTCTCCACATCCTTGTCAATACTTGTTATTTCTTATCTTTTTGATAATATCCTATTATTCTTTAACAGGTGCAAGGTTATCAATATCTCATTGTGGTTTTGATTTGCATTTCCCTGTTGATTAGTGATGTACCTTTTCATGTACCTGTTGGTCATTAGTGTATCTTCTTTGGGAAAATGGCTATAGTTAGTTTCTCTGCCTATTTTTTAATTGGGTTGTTTGGTTTGTTTTTTGCTATTGAGTGATATGAGTTCTTTTTATTTAAGATATTTAGATATGTGTTAGCTATTAACCCCTTCTCAGATACTTGATTAGCAAGTATTTCCTCCCATTCTGGAGACTGCCTTTTCATTTTGTTGATGGTTTCCTTTGCTGTTGAGAAGCTTTTTAGCTTGATGTAGTCCCACTTGTTTATTTTTCTTTTGGTGTCAGATCCAATCATCAAGGAGTTTACCGCTATGTTGTCTTCTAGGAGTTTATGGTTTCAGATTTCACACTGAAGTCTTTAGTTTATTTTGAGTTAATTTATTGGTATAAGATAATGATTCAGTTTCATTCTTTTATACATGGTGGTCCAGTTTTCCCAACACCATTTATTGAAGAGACTACTATCATCTTTGTAATTCTTGGCTCCTTTGTTGTAAATTAGCTGACTATGTATGCCTGGGTTTATTTCTGGGCTCTCTATTCTGTCACTTTGATCTGTGTGTCTGCATTTATGCCAATACCACACTGTTTTGATTACTACAGCTTTGTAATACAGTTTGAAATCAAGAAATGTGATGCCTCCAGCTTTGTTTTTGTTTATCAAGATTGTTCTAGATATTCGAGGGCTTTTGTGAATCCATACAAATGTTAGGATTTTTCTTTTTTATTCCTGTGAAAAGTAGGAGGAATTTTGGTGAAAAGGTTGTTTGTTTGATTGTTTGTTTGTTTGGTTGGTTGTTGGTTGGTTTTGTTTTGTCTTGGGGAGGAGTGTGCTGTTAAGATGAAAGAGACTTGAACATTTTTTTGGGAATGAGTTGGTAGGGAGGTAGAGGTTATAGATATCAGGAAGATAGAAGAGATAATGTATGGGATGAGGGAGTTATCTTTAAATACCAAGAAGGATCATTTTCCCATGTTAACAGGGGTGAAGAAGGAAAAAAAGATAGTGAAAGCAAATGTGTTGTAAGTTTGTTGATAACATTAAAGGAATTCTCATTGATTGGCTCCTATTTTCTCTTTGGAATAAAAGATCAGATCACCTGTTGTGACCAAGTGGAGATGTTTATGGAGAGTGGAAGTTTGAAGTGGCTGAGAATGTTGCAGAGAATACTGGTGAGATATTGTAGGACTGGCAGTCAGTTCTGAAAGTTGATATGAATGATCTTTTATAGCAATACCAGTCTTCCCTACTTTAAAACTTTCTTCAGCTTTGTAAAGCAGAGCTCAGCTAACTGCAGCCAACAAGCCAAGTCTAGATTCTGGGCCAGGTGTGGGTCATGGCCTCTTTTCGTAAACAAAGTGTTATTGGACACAGACATGTTCATTTATTTTCTACTGCCATTTTGAATCACCAGTGGCAGAAATGAGTAGTTGGTCCTCAAAGCCTAAAATACATATATATATACATATATGTGTATATATATATATATATATATA